TCGTATTTTCAACTATCTTCTCGATGTTTGGAAATGTGGTCAAACACGGTCTTTTGTGAACATTACCGTGCAGTAATCTCTATTTATTTTCAGAAACAGTGAGAGTAGTGTTAAACCCAAATAATAGTATACAGCCTAAATCTGTAATACCAAGCCTCCTGCTGTAATATGGTCACCACCACCTCCTGTCTGCAACACTTGAGTACAAACTAACACTGGAGCAACACAAATTTTGTAATCTTCCTCATTCCAGCAAGACACGGGTGAATTGGAATTGAATTGAACTCTAGGGCTACCTGGAACTATACTCTTGGAAAATGAATCATCCATAAATAACTTAGATTTCTTGGGATCAATTTCCCTTGAGCCACAGACATGCCTCGTTGCCGTCAGAGAGGCTTTTGCAGCAGCTGCCTTGGTGTTTTTCCAGTGTGATCCTTCAGTGGTTAGAATCACTTGAAAAGCAAGAGTATGGACATGCAATCGAGTCAGCTGCCTCTTTCTTCCTTTTCCATAATTCCCTCTTGAAATCTTGTAAACATCCCTCATGAGATCCAGCACTTTTGCTACCCTTGGTTTCTGACTGGAAACAACTGTAATGTTTCCATAAAGGAGTTTACTCCATAAGTTAGGAAGCTCCTGTTCATTCATGCCAATAGAACTTGAATAAGGTATTACGTACTGTAAAAGTTCATCAAAGAACGTTTCTTGGTGGAACGATGCCATTTCAAAATGGATTGGAACATCCACAGTCTCAAGGAAAGATGACAGCTTTTCTAAAAGTTTACCACTGTCACCAGGACTAAAGACTGGAAAGTTTTCCAGCCTTTGGAGACCAGCAACCACCAATATTGATGGCGAAAAGTATTTTAATTTCTCCTGAAATTTTTCCATTGATTTCAAGTAAGGATTGTGTTCATCACTATGTAGCACCAATCTGTTAGCTCTTTGTGACATATAATTTCCCCAGGGAAAGTGCGCAGGATATTCCAGCAGCAGATGGATATCATCAACATCCACAATGTTTCCCACTGTAGTCAAATTCTCAGGTAGCATCTCCAGTAACTCTACAGAAGAATCAGCAGCAGCAAGAACATGACACCCATCCAATGCAAGTCGCTTGCCAATTTGTAATCCACTGCCTCCAATAAGTTTTCGAGTTCCTTCAATTTCCTGGGCTTTGATAATCATCTTACGAAAAAGCTCCTTGTCTGACATGTAGCGCCTGAGAAAAAAAGACAAAGGAGTTATTCATTGGAAAGATGTATGAGCAATAAATGAACACTTCACTTCACTTTTCTCTAAGCCTTTAGGGGAGAAAAAATACAAAATGCCAAGCCATATTTTGAAACTTCCTACAGAATAAATTGATCATTATACCACATTCTTCTTTCCTGAATTCTATGCTTCTGAAGGCTGTTTTCGATGCATGTGCTAGGAGAGTAAGATGCACCCTGATTTGAATCAAGACTATAGATAATCATTAAAAATGGTGTGGCTTATCTATGCTTTCAGAGTATTTGTATTTCTCCCCTTTCTTTCATGAGAGAAATTGTTGCTTGTCTTGTATTCGAAATGCTGTTTATAAAGTAGCTTAACCCATGACTTAAGGCTGCTTTCCATATGATTACTAACATTGCTGAACCACTCTACAGCAATAATTGTTGGCACTATGTTTAGCCTTAATAGCACTCTGGATAGCCTACATAACACTCAGGTTAGCCCAAATATCACTGACTCAACAGTGGTTAGCTCTTAATTATAATAAGAGTTACCCTTACAGACATCTTATCCCACTTTGACTGTTACTTGTAGTGCCATTTCGTCATTGCATTGATTAATTTCACAGCTCCGCTTAACTAATTTAGTGTTTACCGTAAGACTGATTATAATTAATAAAGAACACAGACATGTTTGGCATAAATAGGGTCAACAAAATAATGTAATAATAATTATTACAATGTTAAAAGGAAAGGCCAATGAAATTTAACTGTTCTCCACGACAAGAATTACAAGAAAAGTGCAAGTGGTAAGTACTTGCTACTTCTTGGTGTAAAACACAAAAATGTTTGCAATGACTTATGACTGCTTTCCAATGCATTTGACAGCTGTTAGCAGTAATTATTAAGGATTATTACTGTGGGCGCTTTCCATTCAACCAAAAATTCTGTAATATTCGTTATAGTGACAAATGGTATGGAAATTTCCTGGGAAAAGTTCGAGGAAATCTGGAAATTGTTGAATTTCAGAAAAGCGAACCATTCAACCAAATATTCCAGAAATTCCAGTATGAAAATCAAATGGAATGGAAATTTCCAGGAAAATTTGTTTGAAAATTTGGGTATACCTTAGGAGGTTGTCCTCTTTTCCGGAAACAAGAAGATCTTTAAGATCTTATAACTGTGCTTTTAAAATTTATCTGTTTTCTTAGCTCTACAGTCGCAATGCAGGGCAGATTCCAAAGCAGTCTTTGATGATTCATTGATTACTGTAGACAGATCACTTGATCAACACAAACTGTATTATTGCACCACCAGTCGTAGCCATTGTGAAATCTCCGATGACGTAATCGTCTTAATCTGGAACTTTCATCAGGATATGTATGGGCATGAAGACACAAACACTATTAACAACAGCTTTCTTTCTCAAAAGTCACGATTAAATTTAATTGTTTTTTCCCTTGAGTAAAGGGCTAGCAAAGAAGTCACATGAGTGACATAATTCAAGAATTGCGTTATCCACAGCTATCTTTAGTACGGTGGTTATTTCCCCACCAATGACGTAATCCTTGCATGTTCTGACAAGTTCTTTGCTTGGCTTGTAAATATTTAATTTTCCTTCCAATCTATGAACTCGCTGCGATGAAACAGCCAAAGAATGTACTTCATTTGCCTAAAACCACACGAAATACTCGCAAAATTGCAAATAAATTGCTGGCCATCACTTCTGCCGAAATAAACTTGCAAAGTAAACATGACCTTATTCGTCACGTAGCGAAAGTGAAAGCTGCAACGTCAGCGCATTCCATGGCTGACGTAATTCCTTTTTATAGCGTATTTATTATTTCCCTTCGAATCCAACGCTTTGATAAAATCAAAAGAAAATATATTTTACCCACAGTAAACAAAACAACATCTGTAACATTGTCCTTGTATTAATCTCTCAACAGCTTTTGGCAAGTAAACATCACAGGTTGCATCATTCAAAATTTGGCCGAGTGGAAGTTTGGGTCTGGTCACCGACAAAAATAAAAAAAATAAATAAATAAAAATAAATAAACCACGGGCAAACCATGAACCGGGCTCGGCCCATGGCCGCGTGGTTAATTATGTAAATTTGTAATTTTCCATTCAGCACTAGTTCTTTTGACAATCACAGCAAGTAGGACATTCCAGGCAAAGATGACGGCAATGCAAAAATGGATTCATCTTTAACCTTAGAATCTCGCCACTTGTCTGGCTAGAGAGCATTTAATTCCAATTAAAATAATGCCCCCACGGTGTACTTGTTTGTTTTGCATAGGCTGGATAAGAAAATGTACAAAGACTTATAACAAGTGCAAAGAATTGCACCACTCATTAAACCCTTTGATTTGCCAACGTTTTTGCTGCCATTGTGGTTTGTATAAGGTCCCTGCTGTTGCGGTCTATAAAAGTCACCATGTTGACATATCAGTGTTCTGTTTGCTTCTACATGTATATTTTCCATTTTTAACCTCAGAGTCACAAAAGTGCAGCTTATCGTTTTCCACTCTGGAACATTCAACTGAAAAATTCTGTTCCATTCGCCCAGAAAATTTCCAGAAATTCACAATGGAAGTTTTGGTTGTGGCCTGTGTGTTCAGCACTCATGGCAGTTTATGTAAGTGTTACTGTTTCATGGCTAGTGCCGCTTCAGAGAATTGATTTTATCGATTTCAGATAATTTGAACCTTAGCTGGAAACCGACCAAATTGAACAGAAAAGGTAGTGAAATTGAACCATCCCTATGGTTAAGAACTAATAAAAATGCAAGAATAAATTGACATATTACATAAAGTCAATAGGTGATCAGTGGTTACTTCTGGTTTTAAAACATGCAATATTATTCATGTATGATTTTAAGGAAAACGACCACTTTTTTAAGTTTAAAAGACATGTTTCGACAGAACTTCTGTCATCTTCAGTTGAATGAATGATTACAAAGCAAGTTGA